GTGGGGACTCAGAGAGTGGCTGTGAGGTTGCTGGACATGCCCAACTCTCTGTCCTTGTTGCCGGGTTTCTGTTGTTCTGAGTCTGAACCAAGGAGTCCTCAAGCTGACAGACCCAAACCGCTAAAGCCCCAGGGGCAGTGGCTGGCCCAGGGTCCCCCAGCCGGTCAGTGTCAGAGAGGATTAGGACAGCTTGCTGGCCCCATGCCCAGAGTAGCGCACTCTACACCCCTTTCCAGCTAGTTTCAAACCTCTTTAACCTTGCCTACCTGAATTCATCTTTGAGACAGCCTCTTTGGTAACCAGAACCCACGAAGAGGTGATGAGGCCCCAGCCATCCCCCAGGAGCGGAGACACTGCCCCTCTGGAGGGTGTGGGGAGGGGTGTCCTTGTGGGCATGGCGGGGGCCGAGAATGTGGCTGCTATGGCCTGGGGGCCTGGGCCAGGCAGCTCACAGAGGAGTCAGTGTGCCCAGACATTGGGGCTTTGTGAGCCATGGAGCACGGTGTAGGGATTGTTGTTTTTGTTGCCCTGGCATTGTTTCAGGTTGACTTAGTGTCAGCGTCCTAGCATCCAGGGCCCAGCTCTACAGACCCAATAACTAGGGGTCTTGGGGACAGGGCAGTGAGGGCACCTAGGCTGGGACAAGGAGGGAAGGGAGCTGCCTGGGCCCTTGAGCACTCAGCAGGTCCATTGCAGAAGCCTGCAGGGGCAGAGTGAGTGAGTGCTGAGGAGGGACTCCCAGAGACACTGAGTGAGGAACAAGAGAACATGTTGAGCCAGGGGGCCTGGCCAGAGAATGGACAAAGGCAGGATGGGGTCCTCCACGGGCTGGTGCAACCCAGGAAGCTGGAGCTCTGAGAACTCACCATCAAACCTCAGTCCATGAAGAAAGACCCAGGAGAAACCCAGGCCCAAGAGGGCCAAGGGAGGCTTGGGGGTCTGGCTGGCTGGGTGGGGTAGGCCAACCTCACAGCTGTCCAGATGTGGGTGAGAGATAACTCTGTTTACCAGGCACTTGGCAGGAGCGGGGCGGGGGGTGCGTCGGGGCTCCTGGGACCCATGGGGTAGGCAGATTAGGAGGTGGGGGCATGAGTCAGGGGTTTGCAAGCTACCCCCGGGTGCGAGAACGAGGCCCTGGCACTGTTAGAGCAGGCAGGAGCTCAGCTGATCGCAGAGGGCACCAGTGGCTGCAGGAGTTTGCCAAGGGACCCCGAGGCTCGAGGCTCTTGAGCAGGTAGGCAGGGCAGGGAGGGGTGGAGGGGTGGAGGGTGGTCCTGAAGCACCTGCCCAAGGGGCTCTGCAGGTTTTCAATCTGAATCTGTGCCCCAGGTGGGCATAGATACCCCAGCCTCCAAGGAGTAGGTGAGAATGTCATGAGGTGTGTTGCTGTCCCTAAGGGCACAAGCCCATTGGCACCTTCAGCAGGAAAGAGCAGGCGGCAGGAGTTAGGAGCAAGAGACTGGCTCATGGCAGCAGAGGTGTGTGTGGCTGGTATAGGGGAGGGCAAATCTGGTCCCTCTCCAGGTGTGGGTCCTTGTCTGGCCCCTTTTTACCAGTTCTTCAGACACCACAGAATCAGGTCTTGCTACCCAGCCTCCTCTTTCCTGCATGTATGGGGGTCCCAAGCCACCTTTTCTCCCACCTAAGAGGCAAGATGTCAGTTGACACTGCCTCCCAATGGGGACACTTCCAGAGTGTCTACCATGGGAACCTGGCATTCTCCCCATCCTGGGAAGTGTTTAAAGGGAAAGGAGGAGCCCCCTACAACCAGAGACTCTCAAAGTACTTAGCTCAAGCTAAGTCCATGGGCAGTGAAGGAAAATGAGGTGGGTGGTGATGACAGCAAGTCTGACCTTGATGTCCAGTATCAATGATGGTAGCAAACATTGACGTAGCTCTCTGTGTGTGCCAGGCACTGTTCTCAGTGGTTTCTACGTGGGAACTTAGTGAACAACTTAAAACATGTCTGTGAGATAGAAGCCAGTATTATTACCATCCATTTTATAGATGAGAAAACTGAGGCACAGAGAGGTTGAGTCGCTTGCCCAAGGTCACATACCTAGTAAGTGGCAGAGCTAAGGTTTGAACCCAGGCAGTTGGCTACAGAGTTCATGGTTTAACCACTAACACTTCTAATAGGAATAGCTATTTCTTTCCTGGGAGGCAGCTCAGCCTAATGGTTAGAGAAACAGCCGGAGTCAGGTAGGCCAGGGTTTAATCTTGCCTCTGATACCTACCTACTGGGCAACTGAAGTGGAAAAACCTCTCCAAACCTCAGCTTTCTCATCTGTAAAATGGGGCTAATGGCGTTACCCATTTCACGAGGGTCTGGGGGTTATAAAAGATAAGGCATAACTCTTGGTGTGGTGTGTGGGTGATTACATAAAGGGCTACTTTGCCAGGAGCCTTCTTGTCATCTGGTTCCTCACTCCTAGCTTCTTCCCAGCTGTGTTGTCCCCTACTCCTCCCAACTTCTGGGCCCCAGATGCTCCACTCGCTCTTATCTAGCCTTGCCCTACCCAGCTGGCTGGCTGACTGGCCAGGTGTTTGGTGTATTTCCAGGCCCAGGGGAAGCCACTGGGGACTGAATTCTTATCAGTGTCAGGCAGAACAAGACCTGAGGCTGGGGGACAGCTGGGCTGGGCTGGGACAGCAACAGAGTCATGGGCATGCCTTCCAAAACCCTGGCTGAGCTAGAAGCACCTCCGTCCTCCCCGCTTCTCTCTCAGTGATGTCTCAGAACTACAGTGGGAAAGCCCTCCCATTGTACAGATGGAGTGGCAGAGAGCTAGGGAGAGGCTGGGAGCCACCCAAGGCTATTTGGCCAATCAGTAGCAGAGAGGCAGCCTGGACCACCCCACCTGGGAAAACCAAGACTACAGTCCCAGCCCTATGGGTAGACTTTTTGCACCTAAGGCTTAGACGTTCTTGAGGTTACTCAAGGACTGAGCCCAAGAGGTGGAGTAGGCAAGACCAGAGGAGGAAGAAAGGGCTGGGATGTGAGAAGGGTGGGGAGGAGGGTTGGGGGGTGCATCCAGAGTGAGGCAACCGCACATGGGAAGATCCTGGGGCAGAGAAGGGCTGGGTGAGTTCTAGGAACCACAGGGAGGCCAGTGGGACAGGTGAGAGAGAAATAGGAAAAGAAAAAGGGAGAAGGGGAGAGGGAGGGAAAGAAGAAGAGAGGAAAAGTGTGTGACGAGACCAGGATCCTCAAGGGGCAAACCCATCTTCTGGCTTTGGGACCCTCCTATGGTAATCACTGCTCCCCCATCACCTCAAGGCAGGGACCCCTCCCTTTCCTCGTTTGGCTGGGCTTGGTCACACCCTGCTTCCTGTCTGTAAGGACTGTAAGGCCACCCACTCCTCAAAAAGGAAGTTCTTTGTACAGTTCTTTCTGCATAGAATCCATACCCTGTTCCCACACACGACACTCGGCCTTGCCTGGCACGTTCCTCCTCGGCCCCCTCACCCAGCCATTCCTCACACCTGGACTATCCTTCACCACCACTCAGACCATCAAGCCCCACTTGTGGTTCTAGACCCAGCTCCAGTGGCCTCTTCATGGACACGCCATCCCCTACTCCTCAAGTAGTCTTACTTTTCCTCCTGCCATGTAGATACTTGGCCTCGTAACTTGTGTTTGTTTGGAGGACAGACTGCCATGTATTCCCAGATTATCTCCCCAGTCAGGGCTAGGAAAGTGAAGACTGTGTCTTATTTATCTCAGCATCCCCACAGAGTGGGCTTGCTTGTGGACCCGACCCCAACGTAGTCTCACCACAATCCCCTGTGCTGCAGCAGGTGAACGAGGAAAAGGAAGTCCCTCCACACCCAGCTCAGGCTATCTTAGGGGAGCCCTGTCCTTCCCTTGGCTTGTCCTCACATTCGTAAGAGGGCAACCTTCCTCTGTGAGGCCCACAACTAAAGAAACCAAGGCCCAGGGCTCAGTGGCCTCCTAGCTGGGTCGTAGTCATCCTGGCTCCCCAGTCACAGAGCCCCAAGCCTACAATGGGGAACCATTGTTACTTTCACTTAACAAATATTTATTGAGCACCTACTATGTACCATACTCTGTTGGAAATGGGGAATTCAGTTGGGATTGAGACAGAGTATTTGCTCTCACATGGTTTCTCTTCCAGAGATGGTGTCAAATGATATAGACACAGAACATTCAAGAAACCAGAAAATGACAGTTTCGGTTAGTGACTGTGAGTGTGGTCAGGGAGGGCCTCTCTAAAGAGATGACATTTGGGCTGCCATGTGAGAAGAGCTGGAAGGTGTAGGATGTGGCACATGTAGGCTAAGACAACTGCATGAGGAAAGCCCTGGGTCAGGGAAGGGCTTGGTGACCTCTAGGAACCACAAGGAGGCCATTGGGACAGGTGGAGAGAGAGCAAGAGGAATGGGGCTCAAGACGGGTTGAGGGGAGAAGCAGGGCCACATCATGCAGGGCATGGCCTGCAGGCCAGGGTCCACAGTTTGAAATACTCCCCTCCTTCAACATGCTCAAGTGAGAGAGGCAGTGCCAGGAACATTGTGCCCCCACTCCAAGGATTCTGCAGCCCCAGGCCCAGCCTGAAGCAACCACTTCAGGGAGACAGGGCATGTTGTACAATCTCTCAGGGGAGCTAGGGCCCCTGAACTGCAGTTGGCTGAGTCCTGAAGATGGGCAAGAGAAGAAGCCAGGTGAGGAACAGTGGATGAAGGAGGAAGTTGTAATTGAAGATACTCAAATTGATATCAGCCCCCAAATGTCTGCTTCCTTGCATTGTCCTAGCCCTCCCAGCCCAGGCCTTCACACCCACAACTAGCTCCTTCCCCCACCCCCACCCCCACTTTCTTTCTCTAACTCTACCATCTCCCAGCACCTGAGATCCTGTCCCTGAAATGCAGCCCTCTCTGGAGGAAGACAGGGAGACCCCAGAATATCCTGTGTCTTAGGCCTGGGTTTCTCTTCCCTGCAGGGACCCGCAGGGCGGGTTATGCTGGGGGCTTGGATCACTCAGGAAAGCACCATGGGGGATTTGCAGGTGGGTCTCTGGCATCCACAGGACTCCTACCTGGGGGCTCTGGGGAGCTGGCCCTTGGCTCCTATCTTCATGGGGAAAGGGGCTGAGTAGCTCTCTCAAGCGGGCCCTGATGGCCACTCCCCACAGGAGGATTACGAAGACGTGATGGACGAGATCCTGGAGCAAGAGCAATTTGAAGACCCAAGTGTCCCTGTGCCCCAGATGGAGGAACCAGAAGGTGAGCACCACCCCGCTCCCTCTGCTGGGGATAAACTGGTGAGCCCTGAGTAGGTAGGTAGGGGAACTTGACTTCTCCCTTTCTCTGTACCCCCTCCCAACCACAAGGCCAGTTCTCCCCACAATCCTGGCTGATTGAAGGATAAACAGAGTTTTGTTTGAAATGATCACAGGAGGTGATGGGGGTGGAGGGGCATGGCCAGTCACCCATCTCCATGCCCCTTAATGGGTGAGAGGGCAGCCAGGCCCATCTGACACAAGGGCATGAGGTCACATGCCACCTTTGCCTATCCAATGCCAGCTTCTAGGCCAGGCACTGGGCCTGTTCTGGGAATGTCATTTGGTCTAGGGAACCCAGAAGTCTTGAGAAATGGGGGGCCTGTGGGGGCCCTCAGGGCAGAGAGGTACCACTTTCCTTGGCCTGTCCAAGGTCTTCAGTGGGAAGCCTCAGGCAGGGCCATGTTTACTGTCAACAGGATTTAAGCACTGGCAATTGGCATTAAACCCAAGAGGCCCCTCTGGGAAGTGAGGGCTGGGGGTGGGGTGGGGTGGAGGGAATATAAGGGACCAGCCCACCCTGAAGTCCAGAGCTCAGTGCTGAGGCAGTGGGAAGCCACTGGGCTGGCAGGGCTGTTGAGACAGGTGGGAAGAAGGAAAGGAATTAGGTGTGGAGGGTGACAGAAGAGGAAGGCGACCCTAGGATTGCCTTGAAATCATCTGAAAATGGCCATTAACAACTCTCCAATCTCCATCATCACTGAGGAGGGGCTAGTCCCAGGGCTCCTCTATGATGCTCCGATGAGGAGTGACAGGGCTGGGCATGGCCAAGAATGGGCATGGGGACAACAGCCCACTGGGTGGTAAGGGTAGGGTGGGATTCCCAGGGTCCCCACTCACGGGCACATATATCATCTATGCTGGGTCTCTGAGACTCCTGATGGGTGGTGCAGGAGACTTTAAGAGCCCCTAAGGCTTGGGGAATTGTCTGCAGAAAATAATAACTGGCCTCTGGTTTTCAGCTTACCTCACAGAGCCAACAACCACAGAACATCACACCACATTGCACCGAGGCACCCACCAGGTAAGGACCTCAGCATTCCCCATTCTTTTTCCCATGCTGCCCTTGGGACCTACCATTCTGCCAGAGGGAGGCAGGCTCAAGGCAGAGGGACCCCATGAACAGAGAGGAAAGGAGCAGGGGTCCTAGGAAAGAACTGGAAGGGAAGAAGACACCCACCAGTGAGGTGGTAGACCTGGGCCCCCAGGCCAGAGATTAAACTGACTGCTGGTGGCCTGAGACCCAGGCTTCCTGACCTAGGCTGGGCTATCACATTGGGAAAGCACAGAATTAAAACCCTGCTATCCTCTGCCCAGGTCCCCCAGGGACCCTATCCTGCCTAGCTAGTTAGGGAATTGGGCCTTTTCTAAGCTAGGCCCTTGGGAGTGGTCATCTCACCCCAAGGAAACTCATAGATATGCTGAGGCATACACCCACTCAACAATCTTGGGGGCAAGTGACTGACCTAATAACTCCAGAGACCCTTTTAGCCTGAGCTACCTGGACCAAGTATCCTTTTCCTTTCCTTCCCAAGTGGCCATGTTCATCCAGAAGTTCCCAAACACATTGAGTATAGTATGGGGTTAGGCAATACTGCCAGAGGAGTGGGCTGCCACCCAAAGCACCCCACATAGGACCTTCAGATATCTCCTTAAGCATCTCACCTCACCCAACATGCCCAGGCCAGGCTGGAGCTCCTGACCATCCCTCTGAGCCCAGGCTCTTCCCCTAAGCCCTCAGGGCCCTGGGCCTCTCACAAGCATCTCTTGAAAGCCTGTGAATACAGGATCTAGGTATCCACTATGCCCTGGGGCTCCAGCCTCTTCATGGCCAACCCTGGCCATGGTGGGCTAATTCTGCCCTATGGTTCTCTAGGTCTACGTGGAGCTCCAGGAATTGGTGATGGGTGAGAAGAACCAGGAGCTGCAATGGATGGAGGCAGCACACTGGATGCAATTGGAAGAGAACCTGGGGGAGGATGGGACCTGGGGCCGCCCACACCTGTCTTATCTCACTTTCTGGAGCCTCCTGGAACTGCAGAGAGCCTTCAGCAAGGGTGAGCTCCCTGGGCCCCTCTGCAGCCCCTGTACCTGAGACCTTGGGGTGAAGAGGGCCCAGGTCCCACTGCTCAGCTCACCCTTCCCCTGCCTGCAGGCACCATCCTTCTGGACCTGCAGGAGACCTCAATGGCCGGAGTGGCCAGCCAGCTGCTGGACAGGTTTATCTACGAGGAGCAGATCCGGCCTCAGGACCAAGAGGAGCTGCTTCGGGCCCTGCTGGTCAAACACAGGTGCCCCTGCCACCAGGGCACTCCACAGAGATACCTCCCCTTGCCCACCTGCCCCAAGGTCTCCTGGGGGCTCCAGATGGCTCCTCTCCTATCTGGCTGGGGCCCACTATTTTTCCTCTATGGCTTCTGCCTCTAATGCCCCTCAAAACATAACCATGTCTCCATGCTCAGAAAGCCTGGGGACCTAAGCCCTCTTAGGCCACAAGTCCCCAAGGGGGCATTCCTTCAAGGCCCTTTCTTCCATCCAGTTTTCTGGCCCCTTCTAGCCATTCTAGACAGAGGCTACCATTTACATCTGTCCTGTGAGAGGCTGCCCTGATTCTCCTGTCCCAGAGGTTTCTTTGATCTTGTCACTGGGAAGTTCCACTTGGTGTCTACCTGCTACAAAGCTCCACAGCCCAACCTGGGTGACTTATTCAGTCCATGTCCCCTGTTTTGTTTCCTGCAGCCATGCCGGAGACTTGGAGGCCCTGGGAGGTGTGAAGCCCACAGTCTTGACACGCTCTGGGGACCCCTCACAGCCTCTGCTCCCCCAACACCCCTCAGTGGAGACACAAGTCTTCTGTGAGCAGGTGAGCCTGTGCCAGGTGTGCATGGGAAGAGCTGAAAAGCCGCCAAGCAGAATGTGAGAATGGGCAGGAGGGAAGGGCTGGAGGCTCAGGGGTCCCAGGTCTAGTGACCCGAGGGCTCCCCACATCACCCTCCTTCCAACAGGGAGAAGGGGACACAGCAGGGCGATCTCCATCTAGAATTCTGGAAAAGATCCCCCCAGATTCAGAGGCCACCTTGGTGTTAGTGGGTAAGTGACCCTGACTCTCACTCTGACTCCCCATGGCTTTCACCTTCTGACCTGGCCCAGCCTGCCTCTCTTTAAGCCGGACCCAGCAGCCCCTTTCCCTCAAGTACGCCAGCCTGGCCTAACCATCTCTCTCTCCCCATAGGCCGTGCAGCCTTCCTAGAGCGGCCAGTGCTGGGCTTTGTGCGGCTGCAGGAGGCCGTGGAGCTGGAGGCTGTGGAGCTGCCAGTGCCTGTACGCTTCCTCTTCGTGTTGCTGGGCCCCGAGGACCCCCACACTGACTACACCCAGCTTGGCCGGGCTGCTGCCACCCTCATGTCAGAGAAGGTGAAGAGGGCCCTGGGAAGGGGAGGCCAGGAAGTGGATGAGGGAGGAGGAATAAGGGGGTGGGGATTCATTCTCTGGGCTCGACTGGTCTGGGTTACTTCAGGTTCATTAGCTTGAGCCATTCAGCCCAATTCAGTTGCTTCTATCCCATCTGGCCAGGGCAGTCTTGACTATGAAGTCTAGTCTAGCTTCATCTGATCTGATCTGATTTGGTCCACTTTGCTGTGTCCTGGCCTGGTCTAGTCCAGCCCACTCTGACCTGGTTCTACCTGGTTAGGACTGGCTTGATCTGGCCCACTTCCATCTGGTTTGTTATAACCCATCTGGTTTGATTTAGCTCCTTCTCCTTTCCTCATCGAATGCTCCAGTGTGTCTCCCCAAAACCCTTGCCTAGTGCGGACTAAGGGTAGGAGGGGACAGGAAAAGCAATGTGTCAGCAAGAAGGGGCTGGATGAGAGGGTTCTGGTCCCTTAAGTAGCTGTGGACTCTTGGGTCCTTTCGCTCAGCAAGTCCTGGCAGCCCTGACCCTCTCCTCTGCCCTCAGGTGTTCCGCTTAGATGCATACCTGGCCCAGAGCCGAGGAGAGCTGGTGCGCTCCCTGGAAGGCTTTCTGGACTGTAGCCTGGTGCTGCCCCCCATGGACGACCCCTCTGAGAAGGCCCTGCTCAACCTTGTGCCTGTGCAGAAGGTGCTGCTGAGGAGGCGCTACCTACCCAGCTCCACCAAGCCAGACCCCAGCTTCTACAAGAGCCTAGGTACCTGCCCCTGCCCAGCCCAAGGCTTCCTGAGCCCCCAGAGATCCTTCGATACCCCAGCACAGCCCTGTGAACCCCATCTCCCCTGAATACCCCCACTTCCCATCAAGTACCCATCTACCACCTCTCCCCAATCCCATGCTACCCACTCCTTGGGCCACCCCTTCCAATCAGACAATGCCCTCCACTACCCCATCACCCCCTCCACCCATGGTTCTGTTCTCCACAGACCTGAATGGGGGCCTAGAGGGACCTGATGGCCCAGATGACCCTCTGCAGCGGACAGGCCAGCTTTTTGGGGGCTTGGTGCGGGACATCCGGCGCCGCTACCCCCGCTACCTGAGTGACTTTGTGGACGCACTCAGCCCCCAGGTCCTGGCTGCCGTCATCTTCATCTACTTTGCCGCCCTGTCGCCGGCCATCACCTTCGGTGGCCTCCTGGGTCAGTGTCTCTGCCTGCCCCCTGCCCCTCACCTCTGACCCTCTGGCCTTTGCCCCAGCCCTGACCTCTGACCCCATCTGACCCTCTGGAACTCTGCATCAGCCAGCCCATGCCTTGCTCTATTGGGCCCTAGAAATGACCTTGACACCACTATGTCCTCTGCCCACAGGAGACAAGACCTGGAACCACATGGGGGTGTCAGAGCTGCTCATCTCCACTGCAGTGCAGGGCATTCTCTTCTCCCTGCTCGGGGCTCAGCCACTGCTTGTGGTTGGATTCTCAGGACCCCTGCTTGTGTTCGAGGAAGCCTTCTTTAAGGTAACTCATTCCTGCCCATTCTGACCTGATGCTGTGACTGACCCCTGACCCTACCTGCTCGTGTGCAGTGTCTGACACCCTCTGCCTCTGACTGCCCTACAGTTCTGCAATGATAATGGCCTGGAGTACATTGTGGGCAGAGTATGGATCGGCTTCTGGCTCATCTTCCTGGTGGTATTGGTGGTGGCCTTCGAAGGCAGCTTCCTGGTCCGCTTCATCTCACGATACACCCAGGAGATCTTCTCCTTCCTCATTTCCCTTATCTTCATCTATGAGACCTTTGACAAGTTGATCAAGGTGGGGGCCATGGATGGTGAAGCATGTGTGCACATATGTGGGAGACTGGGGTATCATTGCACTCATGTCTGTAGAGTATTTGTGTGACCATATTGTCACATGTGCATATGACATATAATATATGTGTCTGTATTGTCCATGTGTCCGTGCACATGATGTGAAGTCATATGTGACTATGTGTGACTATGATCATGTACATGTTGATGTTTACTGCCATAACTGTGTTCTTGACATGACTGTGAAGAGTGGCTGGACATGATAGGGCACCTTTGTACACCTCTCTATGTTTATGATCACACCACAGTATGACTAGTGGGCAGGTGTGACAGTGTGCACACAATTGTATGTGAACATGACCATAGGAAGCTGCATTCAGGGAGAGGGGGGATAAGGGCTCTGGAGTCCCCCCCTGCCCTTTCCTGCAATTGCCCTCAAGTACTGCGGGTGGAACACCCTGCCTCTCTGGCTCTGTTACCTCAAGCTATGCCTGGAGAAAGGTGGATACTATGTCTCCCATGATTCTGTTGGTTGGCAGGTCTTTCTGTTCCAGATCTCTTTTTTGTGTGTGTGTGTGATTTTTCAGATTTCTTTATTGTTCCAGATCTCTTAAGCCCCTTCTAGAAACACCTTCTTCACTTATTTCCTGCTTGCCAGACTTCTCATCTCTCCCAAGCCCTGGTTGCACATATGCACGTGTGCATACAAACACACACATACACACTCATTGCCCCCATGGCCCACCCCACCCAAGCTTAGCCTAGTTTTCATCCCTGAAACCCATGCTGTGGAATCTTATTTCCCATCTGTACTCATGACAACTGAGGAAGAAGATAGATGGATGATGGATGGATGGATGATGGTGCTAGATGGATGTAGCTGATACTTTCCTGCCCAAACCAAGGCTGGGGAAGAACAGTGTGCCCTGGTTTTCTGTTACAGATATTCAAGGAAAACCCACTGCAGAAGCACTACAACCACAGTGTGAAAATGGACCCCAAACCCCAGGCCCCACTGCCCAACACAGCCCTCCTCTCCCTGGTGCTTATGGCTGGCACCTTTTTCTTTGCCATGGTGCTGCGCAAGTTCAAGAACAGCTCCTACTTCCCTGGAAAGGTCAGCACACCCTCCCCACCTGCCCTTGCCTCCCTCACCCAATCCCAATCCAAAGCTCCTCAGCTTCCCCAGTTTCCTTGGCTCCCATTCTTACCCCAGAGTACCATGCCTAACCCTATATGTCTTGGGAGGGGGTGGAGCAAGGCCAAGGGAAGAAGAGAGGAAGCAGATGCAGCTGAGGGCTGGAGATGCTGGTGAATCCCCTTCAGAGCAGGGCCTCCTCAGTGAAAATGAGACTGCGGGAGCAGATGGGGAGCTGGGAGTGGGTAGTAACTGGGCACTGACCACTGGTTCTTCCACCCACCCACAGCTGCGCAGGGTCATCGGAGACTTTGGGGTTCCAATCTCCATCTTGATCATGGTCTTGGTGGATTTCTTCATCCGGGACACCTACACCCAGGTTACCCCTCCCCCCACCCACAAACCCCAGGCCGCTGAGCCTGCTCCTCATTCTATTCCATTCCCCCTCTCCAGAACAGCTCCTCGCACCCTGACGCTAGCTCGAACTATCTTTACCACATCCCTGCCTCCTCTGGGAGCCCCATATTCTTTCCACAGCCCACAGGACCCTTCTGGTACCAAAATAAGGGGCTAGATCAGGTTCTCTCCCTTTCTCCTTAACCCAGGGCCTTAGGAGTCTGCTTTGGAGACAGGCAAATCTGGGTATGAAACTCAGTTCTACTACCAAATAGCTCTGTGATGCAGAGCAAGTTTCATACCCTCTCTGATTCAGTTTCCTCATCTGTAAAATTGGGAACAAGAAGGTGCATGCAAAGGGCTTGGTTTAGTGACTGGGCACACAATAGGTGCTCAAATTACATAAATTTCTACTTGCTCCCAACCCAACTGCCTGATCCCTAGAACCTTGACTGCCCCTCTCCCATCTGCCTTCTAGTGTTCTCACTAGCTGCCCCCTCCCACAGAAACTCAAAGTGCCCAAAGGCCTCATGGTGTCCAACTCTACAGCTCGGGGCTGGATCATCCACCCGCTGGGCTTATATTCCCCCTTCCCCATCTGGATGATGTTTGCCTCTGTCCTGCCTGCCCTGTTGGTCTTCATCCTCATCTTCCTTGAGTCTCAGATAACCACGTAAGAGCTATGCAAATGGCTGAGCCTGGGGGGTCAGAGGCAGGGAAGCGGGCTAGCTGGACATAGGCAGGAGACAGAGGATGTAGCACTGGGCTCTGCTGGATATACAACCTGACCAAGCAGCCAGAATGCTGGATGGCAGGGGCAAGTCCAGGTTTTGTGGGACCTAAAGTTTTATAATTTGGGGAATCCCTTTAAGAAAAAAAAAATATATATATATACAAAACAAGAACTACAAAATTAGGCACTGGGCCTTGGAAGGGGTCCGTGCAAGCTTCGTGAGTTTCAGTGTCAATCTGTGGGTTCTTCCAGGTGATGCTGAAGATTCTTCCTCTCTTAGAGTGTGTAATTCCAAAGATGGGGGGCAGACAGGGGACTGGAAAGGTGATGAGCACAGAAGGAAAAGTTTAGGCATAGAGGGACCCAAGTATGGGGAAGGAAAGAAGGGAAAAGCGGGTGGGAGAAAGACTCACTTACCCTGGATCCCTCCCCCCAGGCTGATTATCAGCAAGCCAGACCGCAAGATGATCAAGGGCTCTGGCTTCCACCTGGACCTGCTGCTGGTTGTGGGCATGGGCGGGTTGGCCACCCTCTTTGGGATGCCCTGGCTCAGCGCCACCACCGTGCGTTCTGTCACCCATGCCAATGCCCTCACTGTCATGGGCAAGGCCAGCACCCCTGGGGCCGCAGCGCAGGTCCAGGAGGTCAAGGAGCAGCGGATCAGTGGGCTCTTGGTTGCTGTGCTTGTGGGTGAGTGAGGGCCACACTCCCGAGTGCCGATGCTCAGCTCCCTCCTACCTGCCCCCACCCCAGCCTAGCCTCCCGCCCCAGCCCCTGCCCTTAGACTCCAGTGCCCCCTCCAGCCTTGCTCACCCTGCAGCCGGCTCTCCCCATAGATTGATGCCCACAACCCCCCAGCATCAATGATTCACTGGCACCCACCACCTGGGGTAGCCTAGAGGAAATGCCCAAGGCCCTGGGATAGGCATCTGAGCAAGAGTGGAGGGGGCCTCCATGATTGAGACCTTCTCTAGCCTGGATCTTCTCTAGATAGAAGCTTAGTGAACAGTGGGTTCCAGCCCTGTCGTGATGCGAACTCAGTGTCCACCTTGCCTCTGGGACTCAGTTTCCCCATCTGCATAGAAAGGCGGTTCCTTAGATGCACCTAAGGTCTCTTCTTGCTCAACTGCTCAAGAACTGATGCAAGGGGCAAAATCCAGGCATAATGGGAAGGGGGCAAGGTGGAAAGACAGAAGGGCCACTGGGGTGGCACTGAGCTGGACTAAGTGTGGCACCATGGAGGAGATGAGGTTGCTATTAGCTGGAAGATAATAGGATTTGAATAGGTGGAGGTGGAGGGTAATGAAGGCATTCTGGGCTGGGAATGAGGGTGGGGGAGAGGTGCACTTTCTTAAACTCTGTAGCTCCCACTAGATTAGAAGAGTAGAGTGTGAAGTCAAGCAGGGGGAAGTTTAACTGCCAATTCTGCTGCTTACTAGCTATGTGGCCTCAGGTTACATTACCTCTCTGAACCTGTTTTCTTGTCTGTAAAATGGGAGTAATACCACCCCACTTGGGTTGTTTGAGGGAGCTCTGAGGGCGTACTGCATAAGGTACTTGACTGCTAACTGGAAGGCTGGCAGTTCAAACCCACCAGCCGCTCCTCAGAAGGAAGGTTGGGCAATCTACTTCTGTAGTGATACCACCTTGGAAACCCAAGGAGGGGTTGCTATGAGTCAGATCTGACTTGATGGCAATGAGTTTGGTTTGGTTTGGTTTTGGGGTTGTTTGAAGATTAAAAGGCCCACAGTGAGGGCTCCATAGGGTCCCTGTAGTTTTATTTCCCAGCCTGAGCCTGGGCCTGGCTGGGCATCCTGGGGCTGAGAGTGTGTGGTCCTTCCCCTAGGCCTTTCCATCCTCATGGAGCCCATCCTGTCCCACATCCCCCTGGCCGTGCTGTTTGGCATCTTCCTCTACATGGGAGTCACATCCCTCAGCGGTATCCAGCTCTTCGACCGCATCTTGCTCCTGTTCAAGCCACCCAAGTACCACCCAGATGTGCCCTACGTCAAGCGGGTACAGGGCCTTCCTGACTGCCCAGCCCAGGTTAGGGTGGTGCTGGAGTAGGGCAGGCACTGACCCCAGCCTCTGCCTGCAGGTGAAGACCTGGCGCATGCACCTGTTCACGGGTATCCAGATCCTCTGCCTGGTAGGGCTGTGGGCGGTAAAGGTCACAAAAGCCTCACTGGCCCTGCCCTTTATCCTCATCCTCACTGTGCCCTTGCGTCACTTTCTGCTGCCACTCTTCTTCCGGAACCTGGAGCTCCAGTGTGTGAGTAGCTACCCACCCAGCAGCAAGGGCATCTTGGGGAGGGCAGAGGTTGGGAGGCAGGACCCTCAGAGCCAGGGGCAGGGATGGGGCATCAGAGGGCCTGAGAGAATGGGAGGTGTGGGTGTCAGCACCGAGGAAGGCAGAGAATGTCATGTTCAAGGTCTGGGTCTAGGGTCTGCATCCAAATCCTGGCCTTGCTACTTACTAGTTATCTGTCCTAGAGCCAGTGGACTCATTCTTTTGTGCCTTGGTTTTCATAATCTGTAAAAGGGGGATAATGACAAGGCGTGCTCCACATGAGCTGTCACCAACACTGAGTGGCTGTTTCTGTGGTCTTCTGACTCATTTTGAACTGAGCTGCTCCTCCAGCAGTTTTCTTCCACTGGAGGGCTGCTCTGGTGAAGTGGGGCCTCTGCCCACCCTCTGCAGGTCTACCCCACTGGGACATTGGGTCCCCAGGGCTCCTCACCCTTTGAAAACCTCTCATCTAGCCCAACCCAAGGAGCTCGGGTGGTATAGTGCCTAAGGCATTTGACTGCTAACCAGAAGGTTGGTGGTTCAAACCCCCCAGCCATTCTGCAGGAGGGCTGGGCAATCTCCTCCGGTAAAGCTTTACTGCCTTGGAAACCCAAAGAGGGTCACTATGAGTCAGAATCGACTCAATGGAAGTGAGTTTGATTTTGGTTTGGACCAAACCTTGTGTGGTCCAGAAGCTGAAGGACAAGACAGGACTTGTCCAAAGCTTCAAGAGAGCGAGCCATCCCCTAACTCCTCTAAGTTCAGGGTTCCTCTAGCCCAGAGACCTCTCACCCTCTCTCTTCCCACCACGCCCCACCCCTCCAGCTGGATGCCGATGATGAAAAGCCAACCTTTGATGAGGAGGAAAGTCGAGACGAGTACGATGAGGTGCCCATGCCTGTGTGAGGGGTGGACGCAGGCTCCAGCACCCCCTCTGCCATCCCACTCCCTTTACCCCAGGATAAGCAGAAGTTCATGGGCATCTTATATCCTAGCCCTCCTCCTGGCATAGCAGCTGAGGCCCTGGGGCTATGGTTAGGGGAAGGCAGGGGTGCCTAGGAAAACTTCCACGAGGTTAGGCTGGCTTTTCTGGCTAGAGATGGCTAGAGAGGCCCATGTTAGGGGATTCACTCGATAACACCTCCTGCTATCACTCTGCCACATGGGCATCCAATGCTGGAAGGTTCAGATCTGAGCCTACTTCCTAGGGGCTGTTTGCTGTGTGACCTTAGGCAAGTGCCTTGACTTCTCTTGCCTCTGCATCCACTTCGGTAAAATGAACATATTGATGATAGTATCCACATTACAGGATGGTTACCAAGGACCAAAAATATGTAAAAGAACTATTATAGATTGTCAGTAGCATCCTCTGAGCCTGCTCAAGTTCACATAGCTCCTGAGCCACACAGCCAGGGCTTGAACCAGGGCTCCTGACTCCCCAGGCCATAGCTCTGTCCTCTACTTCAATCATACAACTACCCATGCACAGAGGTGCCCTGCTGACTCTCTCCCTGTGCCCATGTCCCACCCTGTGACCCTCTGGGACCAGAGAGGGTAAGCCAGCAAATAGTGCCAAAGAGGCTTGGCTCCAGTCTTTCAGAAGGGTGGTGTACAGGTGAGACCACAGTCAGGGCTGGAACTCCGCACTCTGAGCTCCTGATCCATCCCCTGTGCTCTACAAAGGACCTTGCCTTTATTCACTCATTCATTCATTCATTCCACAAACATGTACTGAGGGCCCTGGGCCCTGTGGACACAGAGGTAGACCTAGACACATCCCTGTCCTGGAGGAGGGGGGGAAGACTCAGTCAGATTTAGATTTGGATGAGGGGTGGAGGAGGGGATGGAAAGATGGGGAAAACGTGGGAGATGGGCTGGGGGGGTTATAATTTATTAATTGTGGATTTTCTAGGAGTTGTCATCATATTTTGGCTTCACATGCATGCATAGGTTCCTCATAATTAGAGTGTCCCCAACCCCATCCCAAACTGAATCTTGGGGCAAACTCAGATTTGACCAATTGGGGTAAGAGATAATGGGCTCTCTAGCACATGAGAAGAATCTATTTTATACATGTATATAAATAAAGAGTTGAAAGAACTGGAAGTGGTGTGAGATGGGAAAAACTGAGGACCAGTGTGTGACAGAAAAGAAAGGAGGTTGGAAGGCTCTCAGCTGCATCCCTGAAAGCTGACACAACCTCCCACCACTTCACCATTTTTCACCTCAGTTTCCTCATCTATAAAATGGGAACGATATTGGTACCTACCTTGTAGGTTGTAAGAATTAAATGAGATAATGAATGTCAAGGTCTTGTTTAGCACAGAGTTCCTCTAGGAAGAGCTCAATAAATGTTAGCTGTTGCTATTGTTATTTTGATTGGAATGTCCCTGTCCCTTACCCTTACCCCCAGCTTCTTGAAAAGTGGGGGAGATAAAAAAAAGTCACCCACTTGACTAGCTCCTTACCTCTCAATACTTGGGAATATGTTTTGGCAATAAATGCATCTGTGCTGGAATGGCTGCCTTGCTCGAATTCCGCTTCCCACAGAGGGGTCTCTGCTGGATTTGCTTGGCATGATGTGTGTGGTGTGGTGCTAGTGCAGGGCTGTAGGCATGAGGGGCAATGAGAACTCAACAGGGGGGTGGCACTGGGGCCAGAGGAGGGCCAGGGCTGATGGTCCCAGGGTGAAGATGGCCAGGACTCCATGGGTGGGTGGGAGAACAGGGGTAGATGGATCGATGCGCTGAAAATCATTCTTCTCAGCAATAAGCAAGACCCGTGGGGCTGGGGAGAGTCTGTCCCTTACCTTGGAGTCATCCACCTGAGCAGCACCTTTGTGAGGAATCCCTAGAGAAGAAAACACACGGGAGCCAGAAAGGGAGCACAGCTTGCTGTACGTCACATGGGAGCAGCATCTCATCACCAGCTTCCCACTCTTCTCCACTCCAGTCCCTTCAGAGGCTCTGCCCTCTGCCCACAGCCACTTTTGAGCAAGTCTAGGGGCTGCTGGGCCAGGTGTCACCCACCCGAGGAGAGGAGTGTGCAGGGACACCACTGGTCCCCACCCTCCTTAACCTTCCAGCAAGAGGTCAGCCAGGGCTGGGCTGCCTGGCTTCCTTCCCTGGGTCTATATTTACTTGCTGACTGTCCCCAGCTGACCCACCCCGGGCTGCCCTGAGCAGCCGCCAAGGGGCTAGAGAGTTGACACCACCCGAGGGACAGTGATTGCAGCCGCCCACCTGCCATACCCAGCAGCTGCGTGTCCCTGAAGCCCTGCCATTGGCTTTGTGCCCAGGGCTTGCCAGACCCCCTATTCCCTGCTCCCACGAACCCCACCTAGAAGCCAGGCTCTGAGACCTGAGTGCACAAAGCTCAAGTCTAGGGTGTTCCCAGTCCTCTCCCAGGGAAAAAGCAGGCTGGGGGCCTGGGCAAGCCAGTCACCTCTCTGGGCCTGCTTCCTGCCAGGCAAATCCTCTCTTGCAGACCCTTCCCATCTCCAGAGGAAGAACCAGCTCACTAATACCTGAACTTAAAGGAGCAAGTACTGCCTTGATTTGGGGGACAACGTTCTGTGCCCATGAAAGCCCAAGCTCCCTCTCCCCAAGTGTTTTATCTTAATTCTGAGCTCTGATGTGGAGGATAGGGAGAGGTTGGAGCCCTGGCCAGGCTCCTTAAAATATGGTTAGAGGACCAACAACACCAGTGGGTAGCTTGTTAGAAACGCAGAGCCTCGGGTCCTAACCCAGACCAGCTGAATGATAATCTGCATTTTGGTGTTGTCCTAGGAGATTTGCATGTATGAACAAGTGTGAGAGCCTGGCCATGGAACTGTGAAGAATAAGCACAGGGCCAACAGCTCATAGATCTCAGGTCTCTGCCCCGCCTCACCCCACTCCTCCTACCCTCTTTAAAGAGATTCAGAGAGTCTGCATGGTCTCCAAGCCCTACTTGACTGAGTGGTGGTGGGCCCAGGGGTGGAGGGTATGTGGGCAAAGAGAAGGCAGTTAGATGCACATAATCCCTCTTGGCTTAACCTAGAACCCAGAAGCCTTTAACAGCTTGAGCCTGGAGGATATTCAGGAAATGTGAAGGTCAAAGGAGCCAACCGGGATCCAACTTCCCGCCTGGCCTGAGATCTCATCTCTCCTGCATTTCCTGCTCCCCAGGGTGCCTGGCCCTATCTGTTTTCCCTCAGGGCTTTCCTTCTCCCCCACCCCATTCCACACACACATACACACACACACACAGTCTGTGCTATTTCAAACCCTTTTGGAAACTACCTCAACATAATGAGACTTTGAACACAAAGTAACCCCATGCCTGGTAAGGAAATAATGCAACAGAATTAAAAAACCTCAGTACCTGAAGGTGTTCTTTGCAGCAAAAAACCAGAAACAACCCAAAAGCTCAGAAATAAGAGCATGGTTAGCAAATCACCCTGCATCCATACAGTGGACCACTGGGCAGGCCTTAAAAGTAATAATTATCAAGAAGGTGTTGGATTAATGCATAAGAAAGAAGGACACAGGAAAGAGGTTAAGTACAGGGAGGAAGTGGGAAGAGAGCTGTTACACTGTGGGGATTGCAGTCAATGTCATGAAACAAAATGGGTATGAACTGCTGCATGGAAAATGAAATTTGCTCTATAAACTTTCACCAAATTACAATAAAAATTGGGAAAAAAAAAAGAGAGAGAGGGTGTTTGCGGTGTAGTAAATAGCGTGGCTTTTCTACCCATAAATCTTTGTAAACTCCAAGGTGGGATTTTCTATGAGCAACTGAGGAGCTCCGGATTGCTGAAACTATCCACCTGGGTTATTTCTGTTGGGCGTGGCACAATACAGTGTTCTGGGAGGTTCCCACTCTCTCTCAGGTGCTTAGAGTTCTGATGCTATGATTGGCTAGTTTGACCACCCTGCCAGGCTCAAAAGGAGGCCTCCTAGAGGCAGAACTCT